TCACTCTGGGCAGAGGAATAGCCGCTGGTACCGATGCAAGTGGGCTTGCACATGAGCTTTAGGGCAGCCGGACCCTCTAGGCGTGCATATAGAGAGGGTCGCAAGTGCATGGGGCATGGGCAATGGGGTTCATGCAGCCAAAGAGATGAGCTGACGGTAGAGTGGTCTTCGGACAGACTCTTACCCTGCCTGATCTATACCCGCGGCGGGACGAGAGCACCGCTTCCCCAACCAGCGCCATGATCGAAAAGAGGAAACATCTCCCAATGCTAAAGAGCATAAGAATCTGGAGGCGGGGCGCTTCTTGCAGGCTTCCAGGACCTCTGGCACACGGTCCACGTCGCTCTCGGACAGATTTGCCCACCAAAACCAAAGCCACCTACCCATTCGTACATATGGTCGCTCAAGCACATGTGAAATACTGTGAGATAATGGAGGTCAGAGGATCAACCCAACCCTAGGGTCATTGACCCATTGGGTGCTGAGATTCTGCCTTGGAGAAAGTGTTGGCGAATGATATTAGGCCGTGCGTGGCCCAACAAGCGCCAGAGCATCTGGGCGGTTAATTCTCCGTTGCAATGCCACCAGACTGGGGCCAAAACGACAGGGAATGAAGGCAAAAGTCAGAGACCTCAAAAATGGTCAACTAATGGTGCCGTTGACTATTGAAGGTCGCCTTGCCGTGCAGGAGGTCTTGCAGGGGAGAATATATCAGACCTGAGTGAGGATCCGCAAAGTCCCTCCAAGACAGGGATTGCCGCACGCCATTGATTGCGCTCTCGGGCGATTGCTTGGTCTTTTGGATTCCGGGGAACCCTCATGCCCTGAGACCCTATGGTGATTGAGCTTGGGCTGCAAGTGTGTACCCGTCTCTTCACACCTATTTGACTGGCTCTAGAGACTTGGAAGTTTATTTGACGCTCTCGGAAATCGAGTTCCACCGGGAGGATAGTCGTTCGCTACCAGCCGAAGGCGTTTTGTTTCCTTAGTAGGAGCGTGCAACAAGTCAAAACTTTCACCATGGCTAGGAAGATTGCTGTTGCAATTGCTTTAGGGTGTTGTCGTGACATGCAGACTCGCAATACATTCAAGGGTTGGTGGAGATGCATGCACAGGTCGCTAAACGGGTGATAGCAGTAAAGGGTCGAAACCCCCGGCCACCTAAAACAAGCCTAATAGACTAGAGAAGGCCACACCCGGCTCCCCGGAAGGATCGTGAATCCGACCGCAAAGGGTAATGCTGTGGGGGCCGGCGAGATCCCTAGACAGTACGAGGTACGGGGTAGTATGCCAATATACTCAGCGGCGAATCTTGACTTCAACAAAGTCCATTTCCGTTTCCAACACTAAAGCCTCGCTGCTTCAGCCTGAGCCATCCTGAGCAGCATTCACACGTGACTGATAATGACGTCGCCCAGTCTGAGCAGTCAAGCCGACATCCAAGAACTGAGCCAAAGGCCCATTTTCCGGCCCTCGCCTATAGTTACCATTCCATTGATATCTAAAACTAGGCTCCAGCAAGACTTGAGAGTCGTCCCATCGGAGGTTTCATTAACCGCACGATGTAACCGTTCGTTGCTGCACATTGGAGTCCAGGCTGCCGACGAAAACTTGTCACGCCGCGCCTGAGTGCACGGGCAATACCCCGGATGCAGGTAGCATTGTGCATGACTAAGCGACGCGTGTTGCCACGTGATACAGAGCGACCTCTCGCCATTGCTTCCTCATTAAACCACGCCTACGATCTGACGACCAATTGATGCCTCTTCCGATCTGCTTAGTTCCTTTTTTTGTTACAAACGTTCAAGAGTCTTACACCACCAGTCTTTCAGGATTACATTCTGAAGCAGGGGCGGGCGGTGAGCCAGACTCTTCTGCTTGTCACGGGATGAGTCTGAGGGGACGCTTGAACCGAGGCCAGACATCCCTTATATTATGGATGTTGGTCAGATAGATCATTCAAATGCGATAACTGGACCTTCGGTCGACTACTTATCACAGAAATGGGCGGGTCCATAGTTTCCCTGCCAAATCAAGACAGAAATACCTGAAGAAGGTCCTTTCACATATCGCTTCCACAGGTTCGGATATCTCTGATTGTTTCTTCCAGTGATCATGCCCAGTTCTTCGTCCTATTCTGTCTAGTTTCGGCGTTTCATCTCATCAACGACTTTGAAAGCCACCTTAGCCAGTCGTGGCTCCGACAACCCTTTGCGAGTGGAGAGCTTGTATAGGTGTCCTTGCGCAGGAACATCAGATTCGTTGTCTGGATTGTAGAGCTGTTCAGGACTAGACATCAGAGGTCACGGCGCAGCTGGAGGGTTTCCAGATCGAAGGTTTCTTGTCCAGACTCAAGTCTACGTGAAGCGCTGTTGCAGAGTCCGGTAGAATGGTCGTCGAAAGGTACAACATAAATGACCGGCGCCCGAGCAAATTGGGTCAACCATCTTCTTGGCTTGTTCGCTGAGTAACCACTGATAGTGAGGATCAATGCAAGGCCGTGTTCGACCAGATTGGCCATATAGCCGCATTGTATTTCGAAAATCTTTCAGAAAAAGCAATCGATGTAGGTTTCGCGGCTCGGGACAGGCTTCTGTTTGTGTTGTTCTTCTTGGTAATCGTCTTATACCTGATCATACAGGATCCGGTCGGTACATCGGCTCGATTCGAGCGGAAAGCGCAGAGTTTTGCCAGAATACCCATTATAAGATCTGAGTGCTCCCGGGTTCTCCGACAGGTCTACGCCCAACACATCATCTTCGGCGTTCTTTGTAACTCCGTATGGCAACCGTTTTTCTCCCTGTATCTCTGGACCAATAAAGATAAACTGTCACTCCTCCAAGAAGTTTACTCGCGACTAGCTGCTGAAGGAGAGAATCTTCAACACAATTGGAAGGTGTCTACATTGAAGATATTGGACTAGCTTGACGAAAAGGTAGACGTGGGGAAGCTCATGGATGACTTGATCGATCAAGCTGTCAGAGCCACCGAGCCATTGTTGGACGATCATCAACTCCACCCACTCAGAGTTGAATTAAAGGCCATGTTCGATAATGCGATAAAATTAACTCGAACAGCCCAGTGTGATCGATTACTGGTATGTGTTGAGATTACCCCATCTTTGAACGACCGTAACGGGTGGAAAGAATATTCCAGCGAGGAGTTTGAAGTGGCCCCCAGTTGCCAATGTCTCCTCCCTCGGATGTACATCTTGGAATACTGTTTGTAAGTCCAAAAATATTGCGCAAGAGTGAGAGGCTGGCACGAGCGGCGACAGTGACAAAGTTAATCACAGCCACAGCAGGCAGAGTAGAGTTTGAGGTAATTCAAGTTGGAGTTGCGCTGTTCCCAGACACCGGCATCTTCCAGGAATATTCATGGCAAAGGGAGGAGGCCCAGTACAAGTACAAATGGGACAGGGTTAGGGATTTTGCTTTTCCGGGCTCGCCGCTAGAGCCATCTAAGATGTGGTCTCGGCAGGGAACACAAGAAGGCAACTAAGAAAGGGGCGGGAATCCTTGGATGTGGGCATTCACAGCACGGAAGATCAATCGGCGGGCCAACTTGGGCCAGGATTGCACCAGCAGATTGAGCATTTTTGTGACATTTTTGTCAAGGTAATATCAAAAGACGCAGAAGTCGTGATTTCTAGGCATGGGAAGTGTGCAGAACCAATGCCCTGTCGCCGTCTGAGATATAGTTTATGAGAGAGAGGGAGCCCTGCGCTACTGAAAACGTGGGGAGGGTGGTCATAGGTTTCTGCCGGAAACGAACGTGTCCCTGCCCGGATGTCTTGGAACATCTGCTCACCAAGTCCCCCATTGGCTCCAGAATGGAGTCTACTGTAGGACATAGTCATGTGGCGCTACATAAATCTCGAAAGCGCGGGACCCAATGTCGAAAAATTTTGAGCGCTCAGTTCCGCAGATTCTATTCTAACCAATCTCAAGTCACTTTCGACTAGTGTATTCTGAGCTAAGTCGTGAGCGAGAAGGTTTCAAAAGTAGCCAGCTTATCGAGGCTGCAGCCGCTCGCGAATAAAGAGAAAGGAGCAAGACTTTGAGATACCATTTCTACGGTGTGAACCTCAAGTGACCCGCAAATGACCCGCAAATGGGAGCGTCAACGGCGTGATATCGAACTATACCCAGGCCAGCCAATCGGAGAAGTCAAGCCTACGATGAGTTCCAGTCGCTTAGATGGAGACCCATTATGCTATACGGAGCTCTGCGTCGATATCTGAGATTCCAGGCGCTTGGCACAATGGCTGAGTTAGTTGAGATCCGTTATCTACCAAGTTCTCCATCCTTATCGTCCATGTTTAGTCATTCCATTCTACCCATCTTGCTACGCCAAGCCATCAGCATTCTCTAACTACCTCGTACACTCAAGGTAAGTCATCGTCTTAACACCCAAAGCCTTGGCAGTGACGATGACGCATACTGGTATAGCAGGCAGCTGCTACACGACAAGGAGGAACAGTTGTCCTCTTAAGACATCTATTGTTACAGAATGCGTCTCGAGTGACACTGACTATGAGCTTGCCTGCGTCCAAACCTGTCCGGAGAGAACAGTATATTCCGGACCAGGGACTGGGTACCACACCGTCGGATCGTCCAACACCGCCGAGTTCAATAGTGGGTGTTCGGTGAACCTAATAAAGCGTGAATATGCCCAGCATCTGAATGTCTCGATTTTTTCTCGAGCTTTATCCGTCAGTTCCGATGAAAAGCCTCCCCAACGATATGGTTGTTCGATCCCACTTCCTCTGACTTTATCATACTCTTCTAGTTCCGAAACCCAGGAAACAGAGTGGATGTTTGCGTTCGGTAGCCTGTTAGGTCACTGGAGCTTCAGCGGCGACCTGTGGTCTGACAACCAATGCTCACGTTACATACCGTCATATATATAAGTCAGTTGTAGCTCGTCGACGGCGGTTGAGCTTGGTCTTTCCACCACCGAACGGTATTCACGCACATATCAAAATAAAAGGCCGTCAGATGACTCGCTTCTCTTACCTCAGCCTCGTCGCGGCGTCGTTGCTGACTTCGCGGGCCGTGTCGCTGGACGTCCTCTCCTCTGCTGCGGACGGGTCGTTGACCTTCACAATCACTGGGGCCAACTATAGCGTGCAGGATGAGGACTTTTCGACAGGGATTTACTATGTCCCACCGTTAAGTCAATCTGCGCCGGTCGCCACATTCGAGTCGTCTGGCTTGAGCGGCATCGTCGAGACCAACACCTATATGCCATTCACAGTCATTGTGACCAACGCCACCACCCTGACTGGGGATGTCCTCGAAGAAATCGTGACCACGTATTCGGAGGATGACGTCTTTACTCCGGGTTTCCTGCAAGGTGCGATCTTCTTGCCTTCTCTGCCCTTTGATCGGCGCTTGTATACTTGCTGGGCCGAGATCCTCAGCTGTTGACCGATATACTCAGGTGTCCAGATCATTACAACCGGCGAGGCTTCGTGGGAACAGTCGGCGACCGCCTACCTTGCCACGCTGGAGCCCAAGCTGCTGCTCCTCCCGTCCACCGTAACTCGTCAAGACTCTAGCACGGAGTCATCTCCCAAGCCATTCGTCATCGCCTCTGTGCCCGCGGGCGACGACACCACGCCACCAGGACCATACCTCGGCACGCTCGCGGCTGGTGGTACCTTAACACTGCGCAAAGTCTACGCTATGTTTTCCGACTACCAAGAAGCTATGATGAGCGGCGTTACCGAGAACGATGACGGCTCCTTCTCCCAGGTCACGGCATTCAACCCGGCCCAGTTCTCCGCCCTGATTCCGTTCCCCTCGAAGCTGTACTCGTCCTTAATGGACCGCGATCAGTACCCCCTGGCGGGGCTGCGGTTCAGTCTGAAGGACCTCATGCCCGTACGAGGAGTTGTCCTCACAGGTGGCAGTCGTGCATACGCTAAGCTGTACGACACTCCTGCCAACGAGACCGCTCCGGCCATCGACAGACTACTCAACCTCGGTGCCGTTTTGGTCGGTATGGCGAAGCTATCGACCTTTGCGTATGGCTCATGGCCCTACCAAAACATGGATTATTCGGTACGTTCTCTAGGCTACGATTGGAATGAAGGGCAAGTAATCCAATTGACGTGAATATCTAGTATTCTTGGAACATTCGTGCTGATGGCTGGCTGGGTTTGTCAGCATCGAGTTTCGGCTCAGCCGCTAGCATCGCGGCCTACGATGCTCTGGACTTTTCCGTTGGCAGTGACACAACTGGAAGCGTGCGGAACCCGGCCGATCGTGTCGGGGTCTATGGGTAAGAAAAATACTAGCTTCTTTCTCTGTCACCGATACGTGGTATACGATTACTGACTTGACATGCAAAGAATCCGGCCCTCGTGGGGAGCGATAGATTTGACCACCGTTATCCCCAGCGCCACGTCTATGGACTCTCTCGGCGTTCTCGCGAGATCTCCCGCGATTTTGACCCAGGTCTTGAGCGCGTGGGAAACGGTCGAAGATGGTCCACTGGAGCGTGGTGACTTTACTCTGCCGAAGAAGATCTTCTTCCCCTCTGAGTTTTTCCCCGTTAACAATTCGGCCGCCCAGACCGTCATCGATAACTGGCTTGCCAATATGACGGAAGCTCTAGACATGGAGATTGAGGAACAAAATGTCACGACCTTGTTCCGCGAGACCATCAACCAGAACGATACCCTGGCTACCTATACAGCTGACTTTGGTTCCTTGACCCGCTATGACAACTGGAACTTGTTCGGTGAGAAGTTTGTTGCTGACTACGAGGAGCGTTTCAATAACCGTACCCCGGCCGCCGATAACCAGGTCCTCATCGCCTGGCGCCAGGCTCGTACATATCCAGAGTACCGCAAACAGTGGAATGAGGATCGCATGGCGACGTTCGGTGACTTTGTAAACACCAAGGTCATCCCGTACAGCAACGAGACTTGCACCGAAGGGTTCTGGGTCTACCACATCTCTGACACGGGCGGCGGTGTCCCCGAATACCGTGATGTGCTCAACTACGACTACTTTCCCCCCTTCCTACCCATGCGCGCCGCCTCGATAGCTCCGTACGCGAAGCTTGTCGATGTGACCGTGCCCATTGGAAAGATCACCTACGATAGTTTGATTTCTCTGGTACGTTACCCGTACAATTGTACTCATGTCTCATCACCCCTGACATAATTGATCATCCTGGCTGACCCGTGTCTTTCGTCCGTCTATAGCGTGAGGAAGAACTCATCATCACTCTGAACTTCGTGGCTCACCGTGGCTGCGACGCGGTGCTCCTCAAATTCCTCAACCTGTGCGAGGCCCGCGGCTTCTGCAACCCGGTCAAGACGGGACCTACTGCATGGTAAAAGAAGGGAGAGTACCTGTGTTGAGGGTGGCTTACGGTATTCGCACACCAGCTATATACACCACCGGGCCGATACATTTCTTAATACAAAGTGTAGACATTTGGGTTTGAAAAGCAAATATCTCTATGTATAGACCGAGATATAGTTTCACATAGATTAGAAGTCAACTCTAATATCATATTAAACTCCTTCTGATTGAGTTCAACCGATTTTAATGCATATATCGATTGTACTGATCTGCTCACCCAACAGAGAGGATGTTGAACGTGTCAACCACTAGGCCAACATTAGGTCTGTTGGCAGCACTGCACAGCCTTCCCACGAGACGAACCATGTGTTTCGTCTTTCCCCACGAGCGCCCTTGATATCCGATCTTTACCATTCTCCCACTGTCAGGTAGGGGAAAATGCTGCGGCCATTTCTCCCATCTCGGCGAGATGCTTTGGCCACGATCTTCAAATTCGAGGGTGAAGCTAGTATCCATGCGAATGCTCGCACACATGAAGGTCAAGTCCGTATTGAAGACTCGCAACAATGGAAACCTCCTCGTCACTAGATCCGACGTCGCCCGTTGCTTTTTGGGGGGTTTGATTCCCCCGATTTTCCGCAGTGGCTGCATGACACGAGATCCGCATCCCCAGCGACTTGACCAAATTACCGAGCTTGCGCGGGGTTGCGTCCCAAGGCTTCTCGCCGTCTAGGATTGTGTTCTTCAAGATAGCTTGCCCCAGCACTCATCGAAGATGGTCGATCTAATTGAAACCCTGGGACGTCGATTCATGTTCGCGCCAGTTTCCCTGGGGTGATTCCGAGCTCATTGTCGACGGTCTTGGGAGGTCAGGATATCGGCTGGGGGAATCGACAGGATGTATTTCACAGCTGCTGCGTTCTGGTGCGGGAAATGGAGATGTCTGTCACAAATAAATGGTGCTCCGCTAATATTATAGACGAGTCAGAGGACATTGACAGGCGTTTATCTCCTTTGGCAGATCTTTACCAGTAGACATGGTGGAAGAACAGCAGAATTCGAGGCCAGTACGAACGTACTCAGCACAAGGATACTCTCTACTAGGTAGGTACGCAGAGCGGCTTAAAAGCAGCAACCAGCAGCGCCTCTTTCGAAGCCCCAAGCTATAGCAAGCGTGGTGCGCGGCCAGCCACGCACCGCGCTGGCAAGCCAAGACATTCAGCCTCAGCGTTGCTCCTCTCCCGTCGAGCCGCGTTTCAACCGTCGCAGGCAGCCTCAATTCACACTTCAGGACCAATTCCCCCTCCCCGAAAGCAATATTGGGTTGTTGGACTGGGTTCTGCTACTCTCGATTCACAAGGGACCTAGATTTGCAGGATCACACTCTGTCACTCTGCCATTTCTCGGGGTCCGAGCCTGAATCGATAGTCACTCTGCTCTCTCTGGCCATGTCGATTCGCCAACGATGAACATGAATATCTTCCGCATCCTGGGCGATGTGTCCCATACCGCCTCCAAATGTATCCTCATCTGGGCCATCCATTCCAACAAGAGTGCCGAAGGTCAGATTCATCACACAGTCTGAGCGCCCCTCACTGAACAAGTCAAACTAACGAGCCCGCAGGCGTCTCTTTGCTGACCCAAATCCTCTATATTGCCGTCTTCGTCACCCGTTATCTCGACCTGTTCTGGGTCCCGCCGTCTGCATCATGGTGGAATTTCATTCTCAAGAACTTCTATATCTGGTCTTCAATTTATATCATCATCTTGATGACTCGAGTCTTTGCGCGGACCCGCGAGCGAGAAAAGGCCTGGAAATGGGGTGCTTATGCCACCGCAGCATCAATGCTTGCTGCTCCTCTGGTCTGCTTGACCTTTAACGGACCGCGCCGGACGACTTTTACCGAAGTCCTGTGGACATTTTCCATTATCCTTGAATCCGTCTGCGTTCTCCCGCAGCTTCTCCTCCTCCGACAGACCACCGTCCCGACTGTCATTGACTCTTTCTACCTCGTCACTCTAGGCTCCTACCGAGCATTCTATCTTCTCAATTGGATCTACCGGGCTTTCACGCCGTCGAAACCTGATGCCATTTCGGTCATCTTTGGCATTGTTCAAACTGCGTTCTATATAGACTTCGCGTGGGTCTATTGGACGAGGCAAAGAGTCAAGCTGCGAGGCGGTGGCATCGTCGATGCAGAGGACTTGCGGAAAGGCTGGTTGGTCAACAGGGTCATCAACCCTACCCGACCAACACCGGAACAGGACACAGAAGCTGGTGACGACGAGAACAATGAGAACCCTCAGCAACCGAAGGTCAACCGCTGGGGTCCACGAGGCATATCTATCTCGGCGGACGACACATTACAGGACCATGATAAGGGCAAACGGGCATCAAAGTCGTCGAACCCCGAAGCCAATCCGATGCTGGAAGATGACACTTTTGTGGACGACGAGGATGACGTCCCTAGGCTAGATGAGCCCGGAAACAAGGTGTTGAACAGTGGCGAAGATTGGCGCGAGGATTCGTCGTCACGGCTGTAAAGCATTTCTATGTATAACATGGACTCTTTCTTTTCTGTCGCCATGTTTTAGCAGACTTGTGGGATTTTGATCTATACATAGCCGAGGGGGTTGCATGCTCAATCTCGAGTTCGAAGGCGTTGCAGGGTTAAGGCGAGTTTAGCGCTCTATCTGATTCTCTTTGACGGTGAAGGTGTTGAATGGCAAGCAAGCAAGCGAGTAGCTGTATATCTGGGTAGATGCACGTGTATTTGAGAGACGCAGAAACAATGTGCCCTCTGAGCAAGATCAACAACTCAAGAAGCATCCGCGAACCTAATAGACGGATTCATTTCAGTGTCGCGCCCATCGCTGCAAGAAATCCCATGTCAGACAGGAATAATATTAAAGGCTCGGTGATTTCCCGAACCAGCTTTGCCAGTGCCAGCCTAATTAACAATTGACAGAGTAATTGACCCTTTGCGTGAACATCTCCGCATCTGCTGATAATACCACCCATCATTCCATTGATCATCTCGGCTTATCGCTCCTCTTCCTCGTCTACAAATGCCACCCTTGAGCGGACGTACCCTTCGTTTCCAACAAACAATCCTCCGGAAGATCGCTCCGCTCGAGAGAAACAGACGGACAATGGCCACCCAGGTCCCCACCAAATTCGACATCAACACCAGGTACCGGATGAACTCCGGCTACGAGATTCCTGCTCTGGGCTATGGTGTTTACCAGACTCCTGCGGCGACGTGCGAAGAGGTGACGCTGCATGCCTTTCGCGTTGGTTATCGACATGTTGATTCCGCGCGCGCGTACCGCAACGAGCAACCCTGTGCGGATGCTATTCGCGGCTCTGGGCTGAAGCGAGAAGAAATCTTCTTCACCAGCAAAGTCCCGCCGAAGAGTATGGGCTACGAGGCGGCAAAGAAGTCGATTGAGTCATCCTTCTTTCAGACCAACCTCGATTATATTGACCTGTACCTCATCCACTCTCCGTACGGTGGCAAAGAAGGCCGGTGCGGCGCATGGAAAGCGCTCGCCGAAGCTCAGAAAGCCGGGAAGATTCGATCCATTGGCGTCTCCAACTATGGTGTACATCATCTGGACGAGCTGGAGGAGTACATCAAGACCTCTGGAGTTGGCGGCACCATCGACGTTGGTCAATGGGAAATCCATCCGTGGCTTCCGCGCGACGACATTGTGGAATGGTGTCGCAAGCGGAACGTCGTCGTCGAAGCATACTGTCCCGTCGTCCGCGGCGAGCGTGCCAATGAGCCAGTTCTGAAACGACTTGGCGAGAAACATGGGAAGACGTGGGCACAGATATTGCTACGATGGAGCTTACAAAAGGGGTATGTACCATTGCCCAAGAGTGTCACTCCCAGCAGAATCCAGGAGAACGCCGCCATCTACGACTTTGAGCTTGACGAAGAAGATATGAAAAGCCTTCATTTTCCTGACTCATATGCCCCTTGCGCCTGGGATCCAACCACCAGCCACGACTAGATGCTCAAACCGGAACGGTAGCCACCAACGAGTGCTCGGACAGCAGCCCCAGTTTGCTACTTTACCTGCCCACCGCATGTAGCATGCAGAAAGCTTGACATGAGTGAGCGTGGTGGCATTTGAGTCCTGTCTATTGTATTGGTATGTGTTCAAGGCCTCGAATGTACTTTATAACTGAGATGTCATTCATTAAAGTATTTACTTTCCCCCATTGTTCCTGCAATGCGAGAAAGTGAGCGTCTTTCTGGGTGTCGCGAAGCGCACGATAGCAATTTTCTCTGAGATTTCTTCGGGGGTACGGTCTATAAAGAAGAGCCTTCTACAACGGTGTGTTGCCTGAGCGAAGACTTATAAGGCTACTCTTAGTCCACCTTCTGCTAACACTCTGGCACTCTTAATGTCTTGCGGCATGTTGATGCATCTCGGTGCTCTCATTGGAGACACAATCATTCTCTTAGAATCCCACAAATTCCACCTTTACAGCTCATCAGTTTGTATTCCGCCTCTGAAGAAAACTATGTCAATGATACCGGGATCTGAACTCAACTATTGCGAAGAAAAACCGAATTAATTCATTTCCAAACACGACGCTGTTCAGAGGCTCCGCGTGGACAAACCTCAAATTTCCCCACGACCCAAGTGCATTAATATTAACCCTCCATCCAAGGCTCGGCACATAAGGTCATAAGATACGCACTAGTGGTCTCCATTCTCCAATACAAAATGTCCCTCAACAGTTACTCCCAAATCAGAATAAGACAGACAAGACTTCCGGACTGAAATGGTCACTCTTCATTTATTCCCAGCCATCGCTCATGAAGATGACTGTGGAACCGTCGTGGGCAGAGTCTGTGCATCAACATTTGTGTTCTGAGAGGTAAAGACTACAAGGACGGCGCAATAGCTGCAAAGAGTCAGTCATTTTACTCAAGATAGGGTCAACACGATGCGATGCACTCACGCCGCAGTCACCGCAAAGATCTCGTGCTGCTTTGCAGCCGTCGCCGTGGAGCAGAGCAATGCGAACGCGATGGTAAAGGCAAACGCCAACGAGTTCTGCGCGTACCCGTCGAGGTGTCTCAACCTGTAGAGGACCAGGACTGGGCCCATGATCAGGGCCGCAATGGCGATGGTGTACAGGAACCCGACGACCCGGTTGAATCGCTGTCTCTCAAACAGTTGGACATGGATGGTCGAACCCTCGAGCTTCCGGTTCTGGACTTTGTTGCGTAACAAACACTATTTTGCCCACATCAGTCTCGGCCTCCCGGATTCTCGGGACGATAACAGAGAGGTGGAAGGAGGGGTTCATACTCGGACCAAGGACCTGCTGGTCCATGTAAAGAGGTGGCTGACCAGGCCATGGACCCAGGAAGAGTTTGGCTCTCCACCGAGCACGATCAGGTCGTCGATCTTCCTGATCCAGCTGCGGTCCCTGTTTGCGAGGCTCCCATCATTGTGGATCAGACTGACGATGCTCGCGCGGTCTTCGTCGCAAGGTCTCTGCCACTGATACAGTGTTGCGGAGCGCACCAAAAGATCGTCTTAACTGCCATGGTCAGCTCGTTCCATTTCAAATACATCGAGGCGAAGCAAATGGCACACCGTAAGCCTTCAGTTGCGCGTCGAGCTCCTGGAACAAGACTCGACGCACGGCTGGGGTTCGCATGTCGTCGCCGTCCCGGTTCGACAGGTATCGTCGTGTCTTCGCCGACCTGGCGTCCTGCATGTCCTGGTAATCGAGCCGGGACTCCATTTCTCGGAGGATGTCTTGATGCCACAACAGCAGCCGCGTTCTCAGGAATCCGAATCGGCGATAGATCATAAAGTTGGGATCGCTGTCGACGACGGTCGCTATTCTCGGCCATCCTCTGACTGCACACTCGACTAATAACCCATACATCAGAGACATGATCACGACCTCTGGCAGCACTTACGGGCGCGGACGTCGGTGTTTTCCTCCTCCGGTACCTTTCTATCAAGTTTCTGCTGCTGGAGATGGCGACTTATACTGACGAAGCGACGCAAGCAACTCCAATCTATTCATTCTGTTATTTCTGTCTCTGAATGTGTCAGATGGACTCACTGCTGACACTCTCTGGACACTCATCGGTGGTATGAGTTCCTTTCTCGAGGTCGTCGACTGGCATATCGTGGCTCCAGTTGCAACTACTTGTTATAATTCACGTTTTGCTTTACTGGAAGACAATATCGAAGACAGGAAAAGCCCAAAGAGATATCCATGATTGTCGTGCTTGACACAGGCTGCAATGGTGCATTGTTACACACCGTCAGTCGCACGAGGCTAACTCTCGATCTCGAGCCTTGGACACATTCCCGTCGCACAAGATGTACATGCCGTCCTCCCCTGGTGACCTCTCATCCACAGCACCGCCTCAGGTTTAGGTCTACATTTCTTACCCGGCCCCTTTCATCAGCTGACAGTACATGATACCGCCGATATGATTCACGCTCGCTGCTCCAGACTTCCAGTCTCGGTACTGCGTTCCCCATCGCCATGAATCCGAGACCAACCTTTCTTGGCCCAGCCCCAGGCCTTCGCTTTGATCCCTATCCCTTTCTTGGCAGCCTTGCTCTCGTCCCGTTTTGGTTTCTCTTTCGTCTTGTCATAGTCTCTATACGAGTCATCGCCATACCCTTCAGGTCGGATGATATCGGTTTCCTGGAGCCATGTTAGCAACGGGCACAGCTCATGGAAGAATATTCGCATACTTGCACGGTTCCTTGGACGAGCTGTATGTTTGAGTGTGGGCGCTTCCATTTCTTGCCAATCTTGGACTGTTTCTGGTTCGAAGACATTCTATTTTTGCTGGATTTCTTTGGCGGGCTACTCCGGTGCCATTCCACGACTTGTCCTCTACACCGGCGTCCAGGGGATGCATCCTGATGATGATGGCGGGGTTATGAACCGTTCACACCGAAGGCAGCTTCATTCACTGCCTCGTTTGCTGGGAAGGTGGCATCCAAGGCAGTCAAAGGTCTGTTTCAGTGGAGGCAGGCATTGTTCACGAAAATGGTCTACAGAGGGGCTGAACAATCATAAGATGGAGCGATTCACCGCGGTTGGGAGGATAAAGAGCAACGGCATCTGGCTAGGTGCTCCATCAAAGGAGTAGATTTCCAGTGCGAACAACCTACGCCGCAATCGCAACGGGGAAGGAACTGCCGTGAGTAACCTTCTGGTGGCAGTCAACCAGCCTTTTGCGAGGTATGCCGGTTTGTCCTGACGCCCTGACGCCCTGATCCCCGTTGGTGAAAAAAATGAAGCGGATAGAAAAGGTTCCAAACACAGAGACAAGAACAACGAAAGGCCCCCTCAACCCGCTTTCCACAGTTATCCTGGGCTGACTTCATTATGAACGAGGCTTTCGAAGTGAGGACCTGGGCTTACTTTATTGCAAAATCCAAGACATTACCAAAAGGGGGCACAAGAACCTGCCTGAGACAAGAGTCCACATCACTTCACATGCTGAACTTATGTGTGCCTAAATCTTAGGAACTGGTGCAAAGGGGTGCGAGAATCGGGAATCGTTGAAAAGTAGGACTTGAGATGAACTCTTCGTTCGGTATAGAGCGAACGTTCGACTGAAGAAGCAAAAACGTCCTCCTGGAGTCGCTAGCCACCGTACGTTGGTTTGTTCAAGGATATTGCGAAAACAGAGCGCATGCGGCGCCTCTCGAGCACCGCATTATACCCCTCCAAAGCGCGCAGGATGTCATTCAACGGTATAAACCTGACCCAGACATTATCCTTGCCAACCAATAAGTGACTGCCGCTGTCATCTTTCTTGTACACCCGCCCTTTCACCGGCGATCATCTCTGCAGACCCCCATTTGAGGCGTCAACCAAGAGGGCACAGACTGGTACATTTTTGGCAGTCGAGAAGGCGGGCAAACCAAAGCACCGTCGAGCAAACAAGACAATCGCGTTGGTGGTGTCGAACAGTAGCTGGACAAGGAGGATAAGCAGGAGGATATCTCAACCGGGCAGCTGGTCGTTCGTTGGTGTCGACGAACGGATGACTGGCCAAACAGTTCGCAAATAGATGGAGCAAGCAAGCAAGGCGTCACACATATAGGTCTTTTCTCTCCCTTTTCCGCCCATCTCACGCCCAGATGATACGTGACAGACAGAAAGACAAGAAGACATAAGCGTGGCGTGCCTGACCCCTCGAGAGGGTCTTCTGGTAGATAATCCAAACCAAAACCTAGGCCGAAAGAGAAATATTCCTCTGAGAAATACTTCCCTGAACTTCCACTCGATTATCAACGTCTTGACAACCCGTCCACATTTGCTGATATCCAATATCCGACACCGAAACTAGATACCCGAGTATTTTACGCGCGCCATGTTACCTAGGTATGTACATCCAAGGCTGAAGGCGGCTGGCGTTTCGGTCGTAAGTGATGGCTTGGGGTTGACGGCAGGGGACGGGAGATCAGACGCTGGAACAGGGGAAGTTTACAACTTTGAAAAACACGACATAGGACGTGAAGGAGATCCTGAAACGGGACATGCCATGCCCAAAGGACAGGTGAACGGTGTGGTATGGCGCGACTGGGGGAGACAACCTCTGACATAAAGGGAAACCCGAAGACAAAACTAGCATAGCATAGCATAGCATATACCATGATCGTCCTCAATGGCAAAGTGCACATGGATTGATTGATCCTCTCACCGCGACTAGCCTTGCAACCTCATTTATGTACAGTTTTTTTCCTTCTTCCCCCAGTAAACATCTTCGCTCGCTACACCAGCCCTCAAATCTTGACGCTTCCTCTGCTTATCGGTACCAGTACTCTGGCTTGACGAAATCGGCCATGGTCTTTGGTGTTTCGTAGGTGGGACCGTGGTGGTGATCGCCGTGATGGCCGTGGTCGTCGTGAGAGTCTGGCGCTCCGACGTAGTCCATTCTGTAGACACTCCCGCACTCCGGGCACCGTTCAAAGGGACGGTCGCGGGTCATCTGATCAGGGAGGAAGAAGAGAAAAGGTGTTAGTCAGAATCTACGGTTGAGTGGGCTGGCGTTGAGAGCGCGATAGAGGATTGGAAAGAGGTGCGACATACCACGAGCCATTTGACATTATGTGAGTCAGCGGGAGAGCCAGTGCAGCCGACCTGGTACTCGGCTCCAGCTGATTTCACTGCAATGGGATCCTCGAATGTACCTGAACAACACAATCTTGTAAGCGTGTTTGGTCGAGGAACACAACCGTCGCTCCATTTCTCCTGGAGCTGGCCCTTCTCAAGAACACATACCAATTCTATCCGACGGGAGTGGTGACATGTCAAAGATGTCAATGCCTTGCATCTTTCCCAAGATTTCGAGACGTTCCAGACCGGTTGCTTGTTCGAGATCGGTAGGGACGGTACCAGGCGCGGCACCAGGTGGAAGGAGATCGGCTTCGGTTTTGATTTCTGGAGAAGCAGAGTTGCCAAGATCAGTATGTTTTCCCTTTGCACTTGTAATTTCTCTGGGGTACAAGGTCTTCAACTCTTGAGGCCGTCTCATGAGGATCCTTACCTTCAAAAGGAAGAAGTTTGCCCTCCGGATCGCCGGGCTTCGGATCGAACTTGCTTGCTCCTGTAGACATCCATATCAGTCAGTCGAGCTCCGATGAGGCAGTCAGTGTCGAAACAGCTTCTCCGAGTAGATCGTCGAAGCTTCGAGGGTTCAATTACACATACGGCGAGCTGTGATGGTGGTGAATGTTCGGGGAGCGACGCGGACAGCTGACATAGGCACACGCCTAGCGAGAGAGAAAGCTGCGCGTGCTACCGACATGGTGGAGGCCGTTGAGATATGAGGTGAGAGTCGATGGGGGAGGAGTTGTAAGAGCACAGAGGTCAAAGGTCCAAAGTGTCGAAACTGCGATTGAAGTTCGGGAAGATGATGATTGGCCAGTGGGTTTCAGAGCTCATACCACTTTTTACAAGCCGCAAACACCGCCGTTCAGCCTCGTCATAGCCACAGTCACGTGTCAGGCTGAAAAAAAGAAAACAGTTGCTCAGCATTGTGTATAGACGTACGGGCACACTGTCTAGTGATGGTCTCTTGTGCGTTTATAAGGAAATAGTAGCACTGTTACGGCCGGCACTGAGAGTTTAGGCTACAGCAGAACACTGTGGAAACAAAATCGTGTGACTTGGACTTTCCCTCCATGCTTTTACGCCTGCAAATTCTGGGATTGTAAATTTACTGCTGTGTGGCCCTTGTGGAGGTTATAACGCCCTCAAGCTGGGAGAAAAATGTGAGCCCGCGATCGAAGCTGTCCGGGAATACTGTCCGAGAATATTACCACAAATTGTATTAGCTTGTTCTCGGATTTACAGGTACGGTTAGGGTCAAGCTATTCAAGCAGTCGATATCGCGGATAAACAAAGCAAGCCGAGAAGAGAGGTTAGGGACGATATCGGAGAGATACTTTATCAACAATATTTATTGAACAGAATGAAAAGGAGATGAAGACAGAAATTTTTGACCTTGTAGGGATAAAATGTAGCTGTCCAGAACCTATGCTTCTATCTTTCACCGTGTTCACGGGGATTCTGCCGGTGAGGACTTCACAAGTCCAAAGGTAGAAGAAGCTTGAGAGCTCTAGGAGCTGTAAGGGTGGTAGAGATCATGTCCCTCGACGCGGATATCACAGTCTGACCATTTGGATGCCTCCTGCAGGGTGGGACATCAACAAACACCAGGATAGCAAACGAGCTTGTGTTCAATTTGCCCACACAGCAAGGATGATGATCTGCAGATTCGGCAGTCGTTACCTAACAGAATACTTCGTATCCATCAAGTATTTTGAGCTCTGATCGCTTCCATCAACAGGCTGGGTGGCTGAGGAGTCGGCGAGGTCGGCACGTCGGATAGTTGCTGAGCAATCCTCGGAGGGTGTTTGTCCTCTGACGTAGTCCAAGACTCCCGTTCTTGGCACCCCCTTTTCGTCTTCATGTTGCCAGGCAGCATTTTCACCTCCAAACTTTGTATTCACCTCCATCTGTCAAGCTGTTGTGACACCGTCACGATCAACAGATGAATAGTAGGCAACAGTCAGTGACGTGTCTCGGGCAGCGATTGTCACAACAACATTCCACAGCCGATGATTTGGAGAGTCGCAAAATTCTTACTTTCTCTTCTTTCTATCAATCTCACAACATCATTTCTCGAGCCCCAAGGGCTCATATTCTCTCGATGTTTCCGGGAGACGGTATGTACCGGAGATGCCTCCATTCTTGCTCTCATACTCGACCGAAAAACCCACTTGTCCTTGCTATTACTGCAACATGTGGCAGAGCATGATAACGGACTCGCTGATTCTCTTGAGCGTTGATCTGAGCGCGATGGACTGTCAAAGGGGATGTTTCAGCGAAATCAGAAGGTCTCCACGTCAACAGTGTGAAGCTGGAACATCACATGAGCGAGTGACCGCCTGGGTGACCTTCCCGTTGAAAAGTGCGTTGGCCCCACTACTGGTATGTTCACATCTCCATTCTCTTCACACATATTTTACAATTCCGGAATTGTATCTGAAGATCAATGAAGGATGACCGAAGCGAACGGATATCCCCAATCTGCCGCCTCTACTCTATCGGCGTTCATACAGCGATGTAACGAAGTACCAGGGATATCCAATATCCCTGGGGACGGGCTATCACAATGTGATACAACGGCTTCGACTCCTGAATGCAACAATGGTAGTTTAGAGCTCCAGATTAACCTCTCCTATGGGCTCCCTAACTACAACTATCCCGAGGTCTTCCCAATTTTTTTGGGTAGGCTGGGGGTTCAACTCCTGTATTCACACGCTATTGTGCCAGACGTCGTAAACAGACAGAGCACAGCCAGCCATATTTGTGTGATTGATTGATACTTCCCTCATCAGGCCAGGGGCACTCCAGCACAGGTTCCTTGGCAGAATCAATTGTTGAATTTGTATTCCTTTCCATGCATGGCTTGCAATATTTTCGAAGGTGCCGTGAATGTGTGGTGCTGCTGGTGTGTGTACAATATCTGGAAGTTGTGCCGCACCTTTACCAGGAGAATGAATCAATTGATAGATTCACCTCTCCATCAACAATTTTCTCGCCCAGTGTGTCTGTCGACTTTTTCAACTTGATGACTTCCGCCGCGAATGAAATACAGCTACACACAGTGGCCAATGTCTGTCTTTCGCGGTTTCTCTCGCCGGAAAACATTGAGCTTCATACCAGCCTGTGAAAGGCCCCTTTGAATGAGACATGTAGCCGATATTTAGTGGCGGCCTGGTGCAGGATCTAGATGCTTCAATTTGCGAGTCTTGCCTCCCTGGCTCGTGTATCCCTGGGGTCGGTCTCACTATTGTCAATATCTTCATGGCTAAATATGTTACAGGCGGTGAATGTATTCGTGAGGCTGCCGAGGGAGAGATTCTGTTCAAATGTTCCGCGACCGCTGTCAGACATCCTCTATGGTGAAATCGCGGATGAGGGTAAATTCGCAGTTGTCGAGTTGCAGGGTAAAGTCTGCGCTGCAAGCACACCTTCCCCATCCTGTTTCATGGCATCTTACATTTCGATGTGGATCAGCTAACGAGGAAGAGTAGACAGTTTATTTGAATCCAAAATGACATGCCCGTCAACATCCAACGAATCTCCTCCCCCCTCTCAAGATCTAGTTGTATTAATTGGGAATGAAATGCGTGGGAAGACATCAAACGTCGCTGTTCTCTGCTGAGCAGTGGAGCCACCCTTTACACCGTCGTTCTCCCCCGAACAAGGATCTACATTGCTCCGCATTGTACAGGGTTCCCCACACTTATACATCATGGAAATATTGCTCCTTAACCGGTTTATGCTTGCCGTGACGATCTGTTGCCTCTTCTAGCCTGGCTGCAGCAAAACAAATAGGCTATATTGCATTTCTTAACATGGAGAAACAACTGATGCAGCATTCGGGGCTGGTACGGCTGGATACCTCCAAGTCCTGCCTCGGTATTCGGTGTAGTGTTTTCCATATGTCAAGTACAAAGGCACAATGCGGCCTCGATACAAATTTGATTTCTGGAAGAGAAACTCGACCACTCCATACGAACGCGAAAGAAGAGAGTTGACAGCGTGCTAACAACATGTGGCCGTTGCTATCCTTGGGTTGCGGCCTTTTGGGGTTGGTCTTAGCTGATGTGTCTGTCTCTATCTCAGGCACCGACCCATTCTCTCTGCATGTCACATCAGACCAAGGTATCACAGTGGTCAACAAAGCTATTCTCGGCGGCGATACAAACAACACAGCAGAGGCAGTATCTGCTTCCAATGATGGTGTGGTCGCCAACAGCGGAGGCCTTATTGATTGGTCCCTCGTCCAGCCCAACGTCGTCAGAATTCAGTACAACTCTAGCGTCGCGTTTACAGGGGCACAGTTTACAGCTGGCCCTCACGAAAGCTTTTATGGCGTTTGGGAGTACCCCTGGAACAATTCTCTGACCAACAATGGCGTGGAGTTCGATCTCAAAGGCGTTGGAAACGCGCTCGGCGTTAACTGGGACAACGCGCGAGCGCCTGCGTTCTACAGCAGTGCTGGCTACGGAGTCTATGCTGACACGTTAGATATGGGATCCTTTCAATTTACTCCGGCTCAAGCACAGTTCATCTTCAACACCAGCAGTCTGACATACTACATTATACTGGCAACCACTCCGGGAGATTTCAAGTCGATTATTGAGACATATACGGGACTCTCGGCACGCATCACCATGCCTCCGGACGCGGGGTATGGTCCGACTTTCTGGTCCGACAATTTCGAGACAGATTTCCATGGCTCCGTGTCCAATGCGCAGCAGAATTACTACGATGTCATCGATCATCTCTACGCCAACCAGATCCATGCCACCTCCATGTTTGCGGACAGGCCCTATGGCACAGGAAACTATTCGTGGGGGAACTTCGACTTTGATCCAGTCTACTACCCTACACCCAGAGAATTCATTGCGAATCTGTCCAACTGGGGCTTTGACTTTCAAGTATGGGCGGCTAATCGTGCGTTCTTGGACACGGAGCTCTACAATGCGTCGGTTGCTGGTGGATGGCTATTCCCCGGTATTAACCCAGAGTTCTTCCTCGGACCAGCCCTGAACTTGTCCATTCCTGCCGCGTATGAGTACGTGCTCAACAAGATGGCATATTTCCCGTCGGTCGGAGTCAAAGGGTTCAAGATTGATCGTGGTGAGGAAGGGGAGATGCCAGGTAAGCAAATTGATCAGACGGCGGCTGCCATTTGTCGTGTGCTGATGAATCAGTCTGGGAACAAAATATCCAGATGCGACTCTTCGAACAGATCTGCGAAACGGTAATGGCCAACAAATGGGGCAAGTCCGGGTTCTACAGTTTCGCCCGGTCAGTCGTTGACCGTTCGCGTTCTCTGACCAATGTTTGGAATGGCGACTCTCATGCAAACTTCACCGGTCTCCGCTACAGCATTGCTTCTGGTATTCGAGCCTCGTTGCTCGGATTCTCTACCTGGTCTTCCGATACCGGGGGATATGTACGTTCTCCTAACCTCGTTGCGGACCAACCTACGCCTGAGCTGTGGGCACGCTGGATGCATTTTTCGTCCTATTCGCCGGTGTATGAAATCATGGTCGGCACTAACCATACCCCGTGGTATGCTCCATATCCAACGCGACTTGTCTCGGTGCTCAAAGCAACCGCAAATGAGCACCATGCGCTCATACCGTACATCAAGTCCTTCACTTACCAGGCGACGCAGACCGGTATCTCTGTCATGCGTGCTCTGTTCTTGGAAACTCCAGACGACACCTTGGTGTACGATACCACTGATGCTTATTTCTTTGGCGACAGCCTTTTCGTGGCCCCGATCGTCCAGGAAGGTGGAACGCGGGACGTCTATTTCCCCAAATCCTCGGTGGGCAACCGGACAGCTCGTGCGTATCTGGAGTACTACAACAAGACTGCGGTCCATCAGGGCGGCTCTTCAGCCACGGTCAACCTGGAGTGGGAGTCCAACCCCGTTTACGTGCGTGAGGGGAGCATTGTAGTCCGGGGCGACACCTACCAAGGCAACAACAAGTGGACGCAGAAGTGGCAACCTAGCCTCACAATCGAGGTATTTCCCAGCTACACCTATCCCACTTCGAGCTTCCCATACTACAACGGAATGGAAGTGGTGAACATAACACTGTCATCGCAATCCACGTCAGGGACCGTCGTTGTTCAATGGGATGGCGCCTTGGGTATCCCTAGCCCTCCACAAGTCGTTTTCTATGGAAAAAGCGGAGCTCAAAATGCCAGCGTAAAGACCACTGGTGCTGGAGGGTCAGCCCAGATCACGGGCTTTCAGAGCGTATTCGGCTGAGAAACATAGACAAAATGTAGATTCGTGGAGTATGTTGGTCGAACCGCGCGCGGGAGAGATGCACATCGCCCCGGGGATAGCAGAAACGCTTAACGACATTATGATAGAAAGTATACAAGGTACCAAAGTACCCCGTACAGAGTCATGATGAAGCGACAAAGAAGCCCCTGAAAGTGGCGGCGCCAAGAAAATTCTAGAAGGCGTGGCGGATTTATAATAGTCACGTGCATCCTGCTAGATCTTCAAGCACGTGATCATGTCTGTCGTCCGACGCGACTTTATTTCTGCAATGCCATGGCATGTTTCTACAACCATCTTTGCCATACTCCTCGACGCTGCATTTAACTCACCACTTCAAGCGCATTGTCACATCTTCACTTGACAAAAGATAATATCGCGACAAAGACACAACTGTTATTAAACACATCAACCATGGCAAACTATCTCGCTTCCATCTTTGGAACAGAACAAGACAAAGTAGGTTCCTCCCAAAGTCTCCAATTTTACGAGAAACCAGAACTGACCGCATCTTACAGGTCAACTGCTCCTTCTACTACAAAATCGGCGCTTGTCGACACGGCGACCGCTGCTCGCGCAAGCACGTCAAACCTTCATACTCGCAGACGATCCTTCTTCCCAATCTTTACCAAAATCCGGCCTACGACCCCAAGAACAAGATGAACGCCTCCCAGCTGCAGAATCACTTTGATGCCTTCTACGAAGACTTTTGGTGCGAAATGTGCAAGTACGGCGAGGTTGAGGAGGTGGTTGTCTGTGATAACAATAATGACCACCTGATCGGCAACGTGTATGCGCGGTTCAAATATGAAGACTCGGCACAAGCGGCCTGCGACGCCCTCAACAGCAGGTGGTACGCAGCGCGACCGATCTACTGCGAGCTGTCACCGGTCACGGATTTCCGGGAAGCTTGTTGTAGGTTGAATTCTGGCGAAGGGTGCGTCAGGGGTGGCTTCTGCAATTTCATCCACAGAAAAGAACCGAGCCCTGAGCTGGAGAGAGAACTGGAGCTCAGTACGAAAAAGTGGCTGAAGATGAGGGGCCGCGATGAGAGAAGTGTGACGAGGAGCCCAAGTCCAGAGCCAACAAGGAAGAGATATTGAGCAGCTCGACGCATACGGACTTCAGACGCGATCAACCTTTTGGCTGTCTTATCGGTGCATGTCGCTTCTCCCAGTTATATGGAGATAGGGAGACTTGGAGATGGAGTGGTTCATATTTCGCGATCACTGTTTTCGAAAGGTTACCTGCGCTTCTTTCAACCTGACTGAAGAGTCTGTTCGCAGAGCCCTTTTTGCTGCGGGATGTTGAGCAACAAAAGCCTTCCAATGATGACCGAGGAATCTCTGAAATACCGGCTCAGACCAACACCAATACAAAGGACTCGATGATCCGTCGAAAGGACGTGCAGGTCTTGCCCGATTCTCCTGGACAGATTTGGTTGTTGTATGGCGCCGATCTGCCGGTCCGAGAACAACCTCGTGTGGCTTGCTACATAGTCTTCCGCCGTGTCATCTCATGTGGGCAACATTATGCATATCACGAACCCACCACCGCCAGGATCCAACCTGACACGTTAACTCTCGGGACATCCACACAACACCTCCTCCCGCCTTGGTTGTCTGGTTCTGCATGACAGACTCTGGAAGATGAAGGAAAGCCAGGACTCCTGCGGCTCTTTGCAAAAGAAAATACCTATTTAGCGATACCACTACCTCCAGAAAACGCCTTTACACATACAATACTCTCCAAGCAGGCACCACACGGTCTGACCCGATTTATCATACTCCTCCCGCGGTGCGACAGGGAGTCGAAGGGAATTCCTGAGCAATCGTCCAAACAAGTGCTGTTCGTGCCGTACCGCACCATACTCCCCATCTTCGTGCGCCACATGTGCCGCAACATGCGCAGGGCTGTTGAGATTGAAGGGGAACATCGCGGCAGGGCAAAAGTCGTTCGGTCCAGATCCAGGTGTCGGTCAGAAAGTTGCGCGGATCCTTCTCTTGTTCATGTATGTACTTTTATGTAATGTATGGATGCACCTGGCTGGCAGTCCAGCGACATGAAATGGGTGCATAGCACTGCGGAATTTCTCTTCAGCAGGTAGAGAAGAGAATGGGACAAAAGACAGTTTCCCCTCCATTGCATCTTTTCCTAATTCTAGTTTTATAGGCTCTTTACGTGATACCCGATATTAGATTTATGCTTGCTTGTGCTTTTTCTTCCTCATACGTCGATATTGACAGCTCGAAATACAGAGTCTGTTGTTTGGTAGGCTACGAATGGTTCGGTTCGTGGACATATGTGTGTGTAGGTGTAGACTGGGAATAGTTTGATTCTACCAATTGCTCTATTGTGTCATTGTGTCTAGCAGCTTACAACGGCGGACGCAACCTGCGATCCGCCGGTAACGGGATATCAATGTTCGTCGTTAAGTCGTCATGTTTCCGTGTTGCTCCATTCGCCCAGCTCCCTCTGCTCCCCCAAACCCCCAGCTGCTCACCTCCAGCAAACCCAGCCGCTTCGCTGTCACATCTCAACGCTAGCCTCTCCAGTGTCCAGGCGTGTCCCTCCTGATTCCACCTCGAGATGATAAATCTGACCGTATTGAATGCATGACTCTCCACAGAGGTCCCAAAAGCCAAGCGATCGATTTGTGTTGTTCTCCTAGTTCCTGGCTTCCGTTCGAGGCAGAAGTGAGGGAGTTGATGGTTCGTACATATATTAAAGTTTCGCGGGCAACGGTGGTAATCTGAGTTGTCATGCGCCCGGCCTTCTGGTATGTCTGATTCTTTGCTGGTGATGCCCGCATTCAAGAGAGTCATGCTCCCTTGTTGGTTTCAGGACGACTTGTCCTTGAATGGGCCAACCTTTGCCCACCACAGTAACACAAGGACAATGCCCACGATGGCCAGTATAAAGCTGATGGCGATGAAGCAGCCTATCATTCGGGTCCGACGTTGTTTCTTCCGATTTCGCTCGAGCCATGTATCTCTGTGAAAGGTCGTTAGTCCGTTCACCTCTCCAAAACCTCCGTGCTATCTGCCGCTAACGTACGTATGCCTCAAAGGCGCAGTAGAAGACGCAGTTGAATTTGACCTGGTATCTGAAATGGTTCCCTTCTCTTCATCCAAATGTACTGCCATTGAAAACCGCCGCCAGAATGCTGGATCTCGAACACCTGCCGCCATGACGCTTGACGATTCAGTGATAAAGCAGGTGTGTGTCTAACGACGAGTTTCGGCGATTGCGCCCGAGCAATATTCCAAAGGGTTTCCAATGTCGGAAGACCGGCGAGCGGAAATTGAATGATATCTGCAGAACGTTTCGAGATAGAGCGACACAACCAAAAGGCACAAAAAGGTGGTACAAATGAGTGGACGATCCTGAGGCACAAAGGAGTGAAGTGCCACAGACCTGAACGACGACGAAGCGGCAAAGAGAATCAAAGACACCGTAGGAAACAACAGATGGTGCAGGAGCCGCCTTGATCACATTCTGGAGAAGCAAGAAGGATTCAACAAGGCTGGAAGGAACAAACTTGCGCGGAATATGGCAGATGGAGCTGACAGTCGTCGCCAGAAAGCTCCGCAATCCAGGTTCAATGCATCTTTCCCGTTCCAAGGACTGTGAGGTTCCACAAGAATTTGCCTTTTTAATAAAGCATCGCTGTTTGTTTTTTGCCCACCTTGTCTTTTTTCTCCCTCTCTCTCTGGGTTTCGTTCAACAAATTCGCACAATTTGGTTTGTTTAATCAAAAACCCTGGTCGTGGCGCGTGGCCATGTGGCATCTTCATACACCTTTGGTCAGGCTTTCCCTGTGCAGCAAACGGTTGGCGTCATGGACGAGGGTATGAGGGTGCGCCAATCAGTGTGATCGAGCGCCCAGAGATGGTCCGAGGGGCCAATTTCGCGCCAGATCGAGAAAGCCACTGGTTTAGGCAGGGGATTTTCGAGGAGCCACTGGGAGCCCAAGGCAGAACTATTGATTGGGCTGAAGGGGAATGGCAGTTGAGAAAGCAGAAACGACAATGGTTTGGGGACAAGAAGGAATGGTGATGGATGGCGGTGGGTTGTGGAGATGATGGGAGATTAAAAGGAAGTTGGATGTCGGTTCTCCATTGGTGGGGAGCTTGGAACCGCAGGCGCCTCATTGATAAATCCTGACTGCGAAACGCGAAGCCCAGACGCGCCAACGTCATCATCACCACCAACCAAACGATAGAGGTCGCAGCATCAGTCTACAGTACGAGGTAGATACAAGGTACAGACAGAAGTCCGGAGCTGCTCGGTGCTCGTATCTTGCTTCAGAGTCTTATCTTACCTTCTAGCGAACTCAGCACCCGTCCTTAAAGCGACGATACTCCACACGAGATCCCAGATGATACTTGAGAACTCATCAAAAGTTGACAATCCCGTCCCCGTTGCGAATGCACTCCGTAAGCCGTAAAGTCTAAAGTGAAGTTGGACCCGCCGATCCTAAACACAGTTACTAGATAGCTGGAAGCCCTCCCGACGACCAGCCAGTGCCAGCCTATACCCGAACAATGGAGAGATAGCCGTGCAGAAGTCAAGAGATATGGGAGATTCTGACTGGACTATCTTGCCGTAGATCTCGCCTTGTGCGTTGCCTATCGACGATCGCTGCACCACTGGTCAACAGCGTCCAACGCCTCTTCGTGAGAGAGTAAATTGAGTCTCCTTCTTACACTCAGACTATAGCATTGTGTTCGCGCAAGACTTTGCCAGAATATCGATGGCTTGACGACAATTTAGAATTTGATGTTCCAGGCATGATGCTCCTGACCATGGCTGTGGAGTTCTACAACTATCCTTGTAAGGCTAATCTGCATGTCAAGCATGAATCGTCTTGATATAGCAGATCCCAGTGGCAGAAGCCTTCACTTTGGTTCGCTCCTTCTGACGAACGACTTCCCACCAAGGCCAACCAGTTCGTCGCAGCTATCGAAATCTGCTCGTTTACTTTTTCTTCTTTGCCGGCGGATTGGTCTCAATACCCTGGTGCGACACGGACCCGGGCAACTTCTCCCAGGGCGCAAAGACATTCTTGATGCTCTTCTTATCGAGCACTTTCCTCAGCTCAGGGAAATGTCTGCCTAGGACATCTTTCATACCAGTATCCTGCACCCACTTCAAACCTTCCTTAGTATACGTCGCAGCATTCCATTGGCCCGCAATGAAGCGATCGCTCTTCAGTCGGCGCGACGCCATGAGGATGAAGATGCGGAATGCAGTGTCGCTGAATCCGAAGCCTGCCGGCACAGGCTCGCTATGCGACCCCACCAGCGTGTCCACCAACTCGATGTCACCGCCATACGCGTCGGAGAGCGCCGCAGCCAATTCCTTATTGCCTCCAGTCAGCTGCTCAAAGTTCTTGACTGGTGGCATGTGCAGCAGTCGCCGGAATTGGTTGTATCGTGGTACCCCGCGCTCACGGTCTCGAAGGATATCCACGGTACCCATGTCTCGATGCAGCCCGTCAGGCGTGGTCAGATTGCGGAGGAAGTCGGGATAGTTCGAGTTCGTGATTGCGCCAGGATAGTTGATGCCGAACGAGTAGAAGGCGTCAGCAAAGGTGATGTCACCATCGAGCGGTTTCTGTGCGTCGCGGAAGAGCATGTCCTCGACACGTTTGCAACTTTTCAGTTCGCCGTCACGAGCATTGAAAAAGGCAATTGTGTCTGGAATGAGAGAGTGCATACGGTAAACCGAGACGAACTCCTCGGTGAGGGAATACGGTACACCGAAGTGATCGACTCCGGAGCCTGGGATGCCGCTGATGACTTCACTTGTCTTTGAAATACGACCCAGCTTCTTCGTCAAGGTCTCGCCGACAAGACCCCACCAATTCGCATTCATGGCGATCTTGAGCGTCGGGTGAGCGAGAATGGCTGGAGTCCATTCCACAGTGTGTATCTTTGCCATCAACGCACAGTTGACAAGACGAGCCTTGTCAAAGATCTGGTCGCCAGTCCAATCGGGGTAGTTTCGCCTCAGCATGTCGCAGATGGAATTGTGTTCCAGCGCGAAAAGAGTGTGCAACATCTCCATACCAATCCACCAGTTGTTGTTGAACCCCGTCAGCGGGTTGTTCTCAGCATCACGCGGCAGGAACTGTGCTCGGCCATCCTTGGTGAGTAACAGCTTGCCGTCGCTGTGTTTGTTTCGCAGTGTTTCTGTCACGGCCTCACTCGAGCCATAGATCTGCGAACTGTCCCACCACGCCGTATTGACATTCTTGTACCCTGGGCACCTGCGGTCGGTCTCGCTGAGAATTTGATCTGGTTCCGTCTGTGGCAGCTCCATCTTGCCATGGGGCCACTCATCTCCATGAGGCAGAGGTATATCGTAGTTGTTCTCGCCCTATGTTTGTATATATCAGAATTGCTCCCTCTTCTGAAAGCTTTTGCCACTTACACTTTCATGGAAGAACCAATCATGAGTTTGGAATTGGATCCACGCAGCAGCGAGTAAGTTCAATGTTGTAGCTGGAATAAAGGATTTTCGTGCCATGAAGCGCTCGCTCAACTATTATGGCGCGACAAACATGTTAGCATGGTACCTCTGACGAGAAAGAAGGCTCATATGCCGTAAATGTGCTGATTCGGCTGGTTCACTCGGTATGAGACAACTCACCATCCTCGGGTTTGGATTCCAAAGATCCTCATCGTAAGGTTTTGGGCAAAAAGCTCTGGGAAAATTGCGCCCTAATCGCATACCAGCGCATCCCATGAGTGGCATTTCAGTTGAGTTGAACTTGCCCTCTGAGTTGCGGGCAGTTTCGAATCGCTTGTCGGTCATGGGAACGGTGGATTGAGTGCCTTGGGCAGTTCCAGAAGGGTAGGCATCATGTAAGTTGTACTGGCGAAGCTCGACACGCAAAGCGTCCAAGTTGAGCGCACCGACCAAGCTAGGGAGCTTGTGTCATGGGACAATTTTGTTGACGAGGTGAAAGATGCCCACAAGCAACCGGTCAGTGAAGCTGGCCTTGTAGCTGGGTCTCACGGCTTCGTCCATGTTGGCGGGGGCTATTGATGGTATTCGAAGGAGAAGGACGGGCAGGGCGTTCGCATCGGATGGGAGACGGTCTGAATATGTAAGAAGGGATGAAAGATACCAGAGTCGATGAGTGGAAGTGACGCTGCGCCTGCTCTGGGCTTCAGCTGCTCACTGCTGCACATGCCCATCCCTATCAACCCTGTTACGCAGTCAAAGCCAGCCACGCTCCTTCCTCCAAGACGCCTTGTTGGGGTTAACCGGCTGCCTGAAGCTGAGACTTGCCTTGCATCCCGTTCATCCTGGGAAGGGGTTGATGTACCACCTGGCGTGGTGACCAGGTATTTGCCAAGCCGCGACAGACAAGTTACAATATTGACTGGCTCGGTTGCGCAGCCAGGCCTCCAGCTCGCATGCAAATCCCTCTCAGCTTATCCAGCTACAACACGAGAGTTGGTCAGAGTCCAGTTCTTCTTGGTTCCTGTGACCCCGATCCTCAGCTTGTGTAACCAACACGTCGAATCGCTGCATATGCCAACCTGGACTTCGACATGTGCGTGGAGGAGCAATATCAATTCATCTGATCATCCTTGGGTGTCAGCCTTCCATCATCCTTTGAGTTGACAGTATCCAGACACACCTGAAGTCCGAGAGTATTCTGCATCAGTACCTCAATCGCCAGTATGCACTTGACCCTTACCAACATTGCGAAGACCGCGTTCACGGGAGGCTACCGCGACAAGTCCACAGCAACATCCCACCACGATGAAGAAGATCACAGATACATTCGCGGCGACATCGAAACTCGTGGCCCGTGTCCCGGGCTGAATGCATTGGCGAACCAGGGATATCTGTAAGTTGCATTGTCCTGCTTCTTTTCCCCCGAAAATGTCTTGCGCTGATTCTAGTGTAGACCACGAGACGGCAAAAACCTCACCATTGCTCAAGTCCAACATGCACTGGAGACCGCCTTGCACATGTCACCTCTTGCCGCCGCTTCACTTTGCAGCAGTCTTCCTCCTCTGTTGCGTAAGGACGGTACATTCGACCTGGTTGACACACGCCGCCACAATGTCATCGAGCACGACTCCTCCTTCACTCGGCTCGATTTCCACCAGGGTGACAACTACACTTTTCAGCCAGATATGCTGCAGGCCATGATCAATGATGCGGATGGCGGACCCGTCACTCTGCGATCGTTGGCGAAGACATTCATCCGTCGGGACAAGGAGAGTCGGGCTGCAGGAGCTCCAAGGTTGCCCTTGAATCTCTGGTTTGTGCGAGTGTTACAGGCAGTTGGGGTGATGAACACGGCTCAGACTGGTGGGATCTTGACCAAGGAAGTATTGCATGCTGTTTTCGCCGAGGAGAGGTTCCCGGAAATCATCCTCGAAAACCCGACACCGAGGACTGTCTTAACATTGCTTGGGAATGCCTTGGGGATGATGCGATATGTCATATTCGGGCCTTAGGACGACTAGAAGCAGTCGAAGCACCTCTTGAGTATTATTACCGCCGCATCAAGGTTGCGAAGCTCGATTATAATTTTTTTCGAATTCTGCAAGGCTCTAATCTGCCCAAATGCTCCCCAGTACAATTTTCCGATATATTGCCGATAATCCTGCATGCCCTGTTTGCCTGTTCAATCATCCAGTCTTTCACCTGTCTTCGATTGACAGGAGTTTGTTTTCAGCCCAACGCTACCTCAGACCCAATACATTTGCTTCAAATCTCAGTCTGGCGGGAGAATTTACTACTCCGGAGCCTGACCCTTTGTCCCAGTCTCCCTCGGCAGTTCACCGGCGGCAACCTCCTCGATGGCTTCACGGAGGATGCCCAGGCCCTTTGCCATGTCTTGCTCGGAAATGTTCAACGGGGGGATGAACCGCAGGGTATCGTAGATGGAGGTGGTGAGGATCAGCATGCCCTTGTCCATGCACCTGGCCTGGACTTTGGAGGCGAAGCCCTTGCCGGACACGAACTCGATCGCCTGCATCAGCCCGAGCCCGCGCACGTCGTGGATCATGTCGCCAAAGTCGGCCTTGGCCTGGCGCAGCATGTCGGCCATTTCCTTGCCGCGCACGTTGACATTCTCCAAAATCTTCTCCTCCTGGAACGCCTTGGCCACGGCGACCCCGGCCGCGCACGACACCGCGTTGCCCGCATATGTCCCGCCCATGGAGCCGGGCTTCTGCGTGTCCATCAGCTCCTTTCGTGACACGATCCCGGACAGCGGGAAGCCGTTTGCGATGCCCTTGGCCATGACCAAGATGTCGGGCCGGACGCCCCAGTGCTCGATGGCGAACATCTTGCCGGTCCGACCGAACCCGGATTGCACTTCATCTGTCACCAGGAGGATGTTGTTCTTGTCGCAAATCTCCCGGACCCGGGCGAGGTATCCTGGCGGAGGGGGAACGTATCCGCCTTCTCCGAGAACGGGCTCGATGAAGATGGCTGCAGTATCTGATGGGGCAGATTCTCTCTTGAGAAGGAGCTCCAGCTGAGTCACGGGATCCATGCAGCAGTTGTCGAAGCCATGTTTGCTGGTATGTTGAGCGATGGAACACTGCGCACAGTAAGGGAATGGCACTGAGAACACTCCTGGCATAAGCGGCCCATAGTTCTCGGAATAGATGGTCTTTGACCGCGTCATTGCCATGGTCCCGAAGGTGCGGCCGTGGTAAGAACCCTGCATGACAATGATGTTCTGCTTCTTGGTGGCATGGCGAGCCAGCTTGACGGCCGCCTCGACGGCTTCCGAGCCCGAGTTCCAGAAAAAGAACGTGTCGAGGGATTTGTGCGGCATTAGCGGCAACAGCGACTCAATGAGCTCAAGATAGGGTCTTTGGAACGCAATATTGACCTGAGCATGGACGATTTTGGCGGCCTGGGCTTGAACGGCCTTGGTGACGGCGGGATGGCAGTGACCCAGATTGGCCACGCCAATCCCGCAAGTGAAGTCGAGCATCCTCTTCCCCGACGCCATGGTCACATAGCTCCCCGATCCGCTTTCGATGACTTCTGTGGAGAGACGTCCAATTCCTTTGGCCACATGGCGAATGCCAAACTCGGCGAGCTTGGTAGCGCTCATGGTGGTCGAGGCTTGTGGGTGAATGGGTCTCCGGATGCAGTGTTGGCTCCTCGAGTAGCAAATAAGAAGCCAACGCAGTGACCCAAGAAGACAAGGATAATCTCTAGGTAACCCGGCTGCCCAGATCTCGAGTATTAGAGGCTTGGAAACGGACAGGGAAAAAATGAAGCCGCTGGTGGTTGCAGTATTTTGGCCTGGATGTTGATTACGTTTAACCTTGACGTCATTGGCCAGCAGCGGACAAGAGCGGGTAAGTGACGTTCGGGCTCTTTGATTTTCCGGCTCCGGGATACAAAATGTCAAACAAGCTTCGAGTTCCGTAGCACAAGCAATTGTGCGAGATAAGTCGTCAAAGCTAATAATCAAGTGCCAGACTCTACAACATACTACTACGGGACACTAGTATCTCAGTAGCTCGGGCCTCAGCTGTCTAGTTGTCGTACCCAGTTCAAGAAAGCCACGAGCTCTGCCTGTCCTCTAGCATTTAACAGCCAGGGAGCTTAACAGCAAACCTCCCCACAGGAGCAGAGGTCTGAGCCCTGTATACACCCGTTCTGCTCATATCTTGATGTTCTCCTCTGGTTTTGTGTGCTCCACAGTTGCTTCAACCTTCTCGGTCATCAACTCTTTCACGCCCTTGAGGAACCAAACGCCGACCAGGGCAAGGACAACAAAGGGGATGATGCTGGCCCAGGCAAGTCTGTACGCGTGGGCATACGCCCAGTGGCTAGCATCGAGGGTCTTAGCCTGAATGGTCTCATTCATTCCTGGGACTGTGGACAGGCCAGTCCCGGCAGTCAGGGCTGTTATGAGGGCAGGCACAGATGACTCGGGTAACCCGGCTGCGACTGCGGCATTGCCGACCTTGGTGGGATAGGATTTAAGCTTGCCGTTGATGATGGCATCAAGAACTGCCGAGCCGAATGCTCCTCCGATAGCGCGGGCAGAGAAACCCAGACCAGTTGCAGTGGAGAGGAAGGCGTGAGGAGCGGTGAATTGAATCAATGCCACAATGAGGGTCAAAGGACCGGATTGCCCAAGGCCGGACAGAACATTGAACCCAATTTGAGCATTGTTCATGCTAGGTGTGATAACGGCATAGCAGATGCAGCTGGTAATCACAGTCCATTAGTGTGGTGTTTGGCGAATGACGTGCAAGCACTTACACAGCGAGGAATATAATGAAAGTCGCAATCAATGGAGACTTCAAATCCTTGTACTTGGTAGCGTACAGCCTGCGTATCTCGTTAGCACCTGCGACTACTAGAAGTGCCGCACACTCACGTTAGGGGGATGGACGCGAACAAAGTCACAAGATTGTAAGATAGCTGTCGGATGGAGATTTTCCATGCATTGGTCTGGAAACCGAGGTTGAGCACGATTTGAGGTGTCACGCTGTTGACGGCGCTGTAGAAAATCCAACCCTCGACTGCAAAAGCAAATACCGAGAGGGCGAAATTTGGTGACCCCTTGAAGAAGACGTGGGCGACAATTCCATCGGTCCGGCCTTTCCATTCTGTATTCTAACGTCAGCGAGTGTGATAGCAAGAAGACGCCTGTTCTGCGGTGGTACAAACCATAAATACAGAAAATAGCCAAGAATCCGAGTCCAATGCCCAGAGGAGCAGCAACATGGACATCTGACCAGGCGTAGGCACCTCCTGCCCAGTCCAATGCCAGTAAAAGCAGTGTACAAGCCACGATGAACATGAATGATCCAATGGGGTCGATAGCCCAGATGTATTGTTTCAGTGACATCTTAGGGTAGTCGGAGCGTCGAGTGGGATGGTAGAAAAGGACGAGCCCGAGAAAGGTAGCGGCGTGGAAGGCGGCTTGCATCCAGAAGATGTCTCGCCAGCCTGATGGACTTTGGTTTGTGACACCGCCTGATCCCAGACCACCGATCCTGTAAAAGTTCGGTCAGCAAGTGGTGATACATCTTCATGAGTCGGGTGTAGCGTACAGTCCACCCACTGCACCTCCGAGAAAGGCGAAACCATTGGCGAGGGCTCTGTATTTGAGAGGCAGGACCTCGCTGGGAATGGCTTGGACGATGGCAATCGTGCTCAAAGTCACCCCAATGAGGATACCCCCTCCAATGAGCATGGACATTGAGGTTGCCTTGGCTGATATGACTGCACCCGCAAAGGCAATGAGTGGCGGGATTGATGCTAGCCATTTCCGATCCAGGACATCACTTAGACGACCGACGATGGGAGACAGCACGCTCTGCATGAGCAACGGCCCCTCTGATTCTCAAAGTCAGCAAGCGGGGGCGGTAGTCAAAGCTATCCTCTGTCACTCACGAATGATCCAGCCTGCAATTGGTGCATCGCCCAAATCTCGAATGATGAAGGCAATCACAGACCCAGCAGCCACGACGACGAAAACTTGAGCCATAATGGCAAAACAGGTGACAAAAACGACGAGCCATGATCGCCAACTCAGGTTGACGTGCTCAGCCTCGTTGAGCTCTTGGATATGTTGCATGGGAGCCTCGAACTCTGCGGCCCGTTGTCTCTCAATCTCTTGAATTTGCGTGGCATTTTCGATGTTTTCGGTCGTCTGTGAGACGTCCTTCTCAGCCACCATCTTGTTGAGTTTGAGTATCCTCGGAACTAAAGGTGAAGAGCGACAGAAAGGGAGGCAGGGAGCGATGTTGGTCAGGGGAATTTTTGTCTGGAAGCCTTCTCCAGGGAGTTATAGGCTGTCCACGGACCGGTACGTATCATGTTCGACTTCTTTTGTCCATGTTCTGGCCACCATTTTTGCCCCGGCAGTTGGTCTGGGGGCGTTCACCGGGCACACTCCGTTGACCTCCTCCACAAAAAGCAGCAAATTTCAGGCATGCGGTGGCTGAGGATGGGGCAGGATAGTCAATCTTGGGGTACAAGCTAACTGTCAATCGTCCGTCTAAGTTGTGATGATGCATACTTTGGGGGGTATTTTCCGGGACTGCATCTGACCCGCACGTGGCGATGATTCGGCGTATTCTGAGCGTACTTGTACGAGGAGGTGTTTGGGGGCACGCGGTGCAAGCAGTGGGTAAAAGCCAGGATGGAAATGGAGGTGGATGGTGGAATTGTGGCATCTTGCGGAGAAGCTGGAGCTGCTTGTGGGGTCCAATATGTCGACGATGTCCTGTTTTGACAAGTGTCAGTCGCCTGCGCACAGCTCGCCGGCTTTTTTGATACCCGAAGGATTTGGCCACAGCTCTGAGGCGTTCGGAGCTGCGCTGGTTCTCCGTGCTATGATTGAAGCACACTTCAGTGGTCGGAAGGGATCCCTTATCAGGGCATCCTTCAGGCGGCCTGCATGACTAAGTCAATATGTCTGACAACGCACCTGTCTTGCTGTTGCTCGTGAAATGGTGGATGGGTAGAGCTTCGAGATATGGGACAGTATATGCGACGAGAGTGTGGTCGTAGGCCAGCGCTCTCTCTCCAACGCTACAAAGCTGCGTGACAACTCCAGACACTACAGTCACCATCAACACCTTCATTGAATAAAATCTACGCTTGCATTAATTTCTCTTCACTGTCTAGTGAAGGTCTAGAACGATCGCAACAGCGACGGTGAGAAAGACAGCACAACTGAATGCTTCACTTGCGTGTCTTCACTATTCGCTTGACTTGCATGTCTTCGCTATTGACTTCACTGTCATGGATCCTTATGCACTCATGGTGATTTTCTTGCTCGACACAGTCACAGGCAAGTGACGCATCTTCTCGTGGTAATTGTACTCAAATTCACTCTGAAGACTCAACAATATCTAATGGGCTCACAACATTCACTCGTTGATTGTTACATCCGCGAGTCTGTCACTACTACTCTGTTATAAATTCCTCCTCAATATTTTCTTTCTTTCTTTCTTTCTCGCTTGACGACTGCTCCGTGGCCTGGTTAGACAATTCACACCATCATGGATGCACCAGACCTCATACAGAAGGTCAAACCACAGGCACCAAGATCCAAACCAGGCTTCCCCCAGATGGGAGTTTTTCGCTCCACAGTCGCGTCAACAGTCGCGTCCACAGGGAGTCCTCTGAAGATTCGGGACGTTGAACATGGAAACAACGATACAGACCACCCTATGCTGAATCCTGTGAATGTGCGAAAGAGACCAAATGCTTCAGCTCGAAAGGACGAATGGGAAGACAGCAGTGGCGCGGAAGGAGACAAGCATCAATCTGGAATTTCTAACAGCCCCCCGAACAAAGGGAGGGTCATTAACAAAACACCTCGATTCAACAAAATCTCCAAACCAACGGGTGAAGAAGTCAAAGAGTTGTCTCAGTCAAGTATGTCTTTGATCCATGTCCACCAACGCCTTCCTTGGGTTTGATATTGTTCCCTACCGACTGCTACTGACACAAACCTATTCAAGGAAGCGCCGTAGATTGGCGAAACCGCAAAGAAGTCGAAGAAGCTTACAGAAAGAAAGTCTGCGCAATGATTGACGATGACATCCTGGACCAAGTCAACGCAGAAGGAGGCATCACCCCAATCGGAAGAATGTACAAGGCTGTCTGTTGGATGCTGGAGCGACAAAATGTTGACAATGCACATGTTACAAACGAGGCAGGTCAAGAGGACATCACAACCTTGAGGGCTGAAAATGAAGCAATGAGGAAGGCGATCGATAGAGCCATGCAACTGCTGGAGTCCGCATGAGCCAAGGATTCTGATCTGTCGCGAAAGATCTTCTGGTTGACTCTGTGCTGGACTGGCTTTGCTACGGAAAGAGACTGTGCCAGCACAGCGAGACTGCGCATTCGGGGCTCACGCCTCACACCCTGTGACCGAGGTTTAAGATGTTGAACATGGTGATCCACAAGTGCCAGAACATTAGGTAGTAAGGACTGAGGTAGCAAGATACTGAAATGCGCTATTCTATCCTCCCATCCAGGTATAGAGTCTATGTCTCAAAAAGTACAACCGCGTTACCCCGACCACTGTGATTCTAGCCCTCGGTGCCTCTATAACTTGGCCTGCTTCGGGCTCGGGAAGACTGCTTTATCGTGCACACACGTAACACAGAGCTTGTTATTCACGTAGATCTTGCCCACAATGTTTGCCGTGTTCCTCCCGGCAGCTTGAACCTCACAGTCCACAATCGCCTTGCTGCCCATCGGGACTGGCCGCAAATAGCTCATGGTGATCGTCCTGCTGACATGTCCACCATCTAGGAACCCGGGGCGCGCGATCGTCAGGAGCGCCGTACTCGTCAGATTATCCAGCAGCGTCGCCGAGGCGCCACCGTGCAAGTTGCCAGATTTGTTGCACAACTCCGACCCGACATCCAGACTCCATTTCACAAAGTTGGGTTGCGCATCGAGAAGTTCCAGGTTGGCGTTTCGAAGTGAGTGCGTGTCAAAACCGAAGTATTCCGGGTCGTCAAGGACTTCTTTTTCGAGACGAAGGACCCGGTCGCGGAGCGGTAGAGCGAGGAAGTCCTCGACCTGGAAGACTTTGATGTGGTGGCTTACTTTGCTGGCTTCTGACATGATGGCGAGTGGAAAACAGAATTACTGGAGACTTGAATGATGCTGTTTATTCCAATTGTCGTTGGTTGGCTGCTCAAATTTTCGGACAAAGTAATTGTATATCAATTTCGGTTTCTGTATTTCTTGGACTTGGAGGTGGAATACAAATCGGAGTGTTCGAAGCTGAAAGAGCTAGTCCTTGGAGACTATCTATAAGACTTCTATGAGGCAGTCAGCCGCAAAAGAAATGGACGTCAGCGAGGATGTTGGTTACGGTTGGGTGTAGAAAATGGGAATTTGATGAGATCGTCCTCAGTTGCCGAGGCACGCGAGGTTCACTCCTTTTAGCTTCAGCACGTGGTGATAACGATAAAGGGAGGCAAGCCGCCAATTCGAGCATCGCCATCGCAGTCAGCCTCCCTTCTGTCCCCCCGCTCTAAGTAACGAGTTGAACAGCCATTGGCCCAAGGGGATGCATGATTACAGTGCTAACTAGTCCATCCCCAAAATGTTTGATCGCCAACCGACTGACTATCACGGCAATGTGTGAAGATGTTAGACGCGCGCTTTGGACCCCGGACGTATGCAACCTAAGGATAGTGAGGCTGATGCGCATTCCAGTCCCCATCACGGACAACACGAGTATTAAAGCCAACGTTGCCTGTCCTTCATCTCCACTCCGTGGGATCCATCTCGTTTCAGCTTCTCAGCCGATCATTGACGCTTCTGTAGACCCCTCGTCTTGAATATGGTGTTATTGGAAGGGTGGTACCATTGTCAAGACGATGGACGAGGACGAAAATGTCGATAACGCTACCGCTGCCGAGAACAACAAACAATCCAGACGGGAGCGGCTAAAGGGAGCCCTCTCCCGCACCAAGAGCAAGTTCAAGAAGCACACAAGTGACACAAATGAAGAGAGGGATCTTCCGGATGACGTGAACGAGTTTTTGGCTGCAGGCAGGACATCTCTCTCGAGCGGACCACGGCCAGTAGATAGTCTTCAGCATCCTCAACGCACCCCTGCCACCTCGAACCTTGACCAGAGCTCGCCGGTTTCTACCAGACCATCGACGTCTGAATCATTCACGAATCCCTCCGCCCCCCAACGCTCACCGAAGAAGGTCTCTGTCCCAAGAATAGACGTCACAAATTCTCAACGCTGGCCTCGAGCTCAACCCATTGGAACTACCGAACAGGATATCAACGACTTCCTGCGTCCTGAATACCAAGGGCGCAGTCAATCAGTCAGCTCCTTCTCCAATAAGCCGAAGCGCAAGGGACGTGGTAGAGGACTCAGCGTCTCCTTCATCGAAGCCCCCCCTGTCATTATTGGCGAGGGCGGAGATGATGCGCCTACACCTCCAGTTGAGATCTCAAAGGCCAGACAACGAGCCCGATCTGCCTCGCCGATGCCCAACCGCGGGCAATCTCAGTCGCGTGACCACTCGGGAAGTCCTACGAACGGGGCCTACGCTCTACGAAATGCACCCCTCCCTCATCCACCACGTCAGGGTGGTCAACCCCCAGACATCTTGCGGCCTCGGATGCTACAAAGAGTACAGACAGGGAACTTCTCGGGCAGCAGAGGGGCATCTGCGTTGGATAAAGAGTTTGAAATGACACTTCGTCTGGGGTCAAATGCAGTCAACTCTCCGGTCAGCCCGGGAGAATCACCTAATACTCCGGAGCTCCATGCTCCGAAACCAGTACGGGTGATCCACCCGCCACCACCAGTGCTGGAAGAACCCATACAGTCACATATCGTCAAGAAGGAGATTCAGAGTACGGATCTGCGCAAACAGTTCAGAGAAGGGGATGCCTTACGTATGCATCTCGATACGGAAACGCCAGATGTCGTCGACAGCATCGCTGGTGATGGGGCAGTTAGGGGTGGGATCCAGCCTGATGAGCAAAGGCCTTCCAAATGGATTTGAAAACGATCTCTGTTGGCTTCTAAAGTGCTCTACGTCTATGAAATGAAGATCTAGCTAGATGTCCCGTTGACTGCGGTCAGCGCCTTGAAACCCTGGATCAGGTCATCGAGCAGGTCCTTTTCGTCTTCAATGCCGATGCTGACCCTCAGGAGATCCTTTTCCACTGTTGAATCGGTCATTGTCCTCCATTCAATCAAGCTCTCGATCCCACCTAAACTGGTCGCGTGATGGAAGAGATGGAGCTTGCTAGGCAATGCCCTCGCGAACTCCTGCGATTTCAAAACGATAGAAAATACCGGGCCATAGCCGTTGGGCATTTGTTTCTTCAGCCAAGTCTTGTAATCCTTGGTTTGCAGACTCGCATGATCCACCTTTTTGACGACGGACTTGATGATCTCCGCGTCAGAGAGAGACAGGCCTGTGCCGACAGTGTGACCCGTCAGAGCGCCGTCAAGGGCATCAACTATCCTTCTCGCCGATTCACTCTGCTTCATGACTCGGAGTTCCAGGGTTCGAATACTCCTCACACCAAGCCAACCTTCCAAACCGCCCATCACGGAGCCCAGATACACCCGATCCTGCAGCATCTTGGGTATCCACTCCTTCTGCTTCACAGCCAAGACACCACACAGTAAATCGGAGTGGCCACCAAAGTACTTTGTACCTGAATGCATGACGATATCCGCACCGTGCTTGAAGGGATCCTGTAGGGGCGGCGGCGCAAACGTGGAGTCTACGCTGAGGTATGCACCTCGTGAATGCGCAATGTCCGCGTAATGTTGTATATCAAAGGCCAACCCTGTCGGATTGACCGGTGTTTCCAGATGCAAAAGGTCCCCCTCTTGTAAATCTTCCGGTTTGCAGTCCAGCGGCAGGAGCTGCAGTCCAGAAAGCCTTTGGTGGAGTCTCAACACCCCATGGCATCCATGGTATCCTGCACCAATAGCCACTCTCTTTGGGTTCAGAAACGTGATCAGTGCATTGAATGCAGCGAGCCCAGAAGAATATGTCAAGCAAGGGTTCTTCAGCAGCACACCTAGGATCGTCTCCAAGCGTGATGTACTGGGTGTCGTATGGCGGGAGTAGTTATGTTCCGTGGGCTCAAAGATAGGTTCCGATCTTTCATGATATGGGCGCAGTTGCGCAGGGTCGTTGTCATAACGAAAGGTCGTGGAGACGTGAATAGGAGGGGCGACATCGTGGACCACGTTGAGAGGGTCGTCGGCATGGATGGCAAGGGTGGAAGGAGAGAGCGACGTCAAGTCAAAATGTTCAGATAGATCTTCAACTGCTGGTGACTGGGCGGGGCGCGCGGGTTGAGGGTTTTCGGAAGAAGTGTCCCCATCAAGAGGCAAGGTCCCGTTGGTGGTGACCATGTCTAGGGGATGCGTATGAGATGTTACGACCCGACTCTAGGGGGATCTTGAAATAACAGTGTTCAGTGAAAATGAATGTTCAAAATCGGCGCCCTCCCAATGACATGGACAAATTATGGGTGGATTAGTTACGATAGCTGCGGGGAAGCCCGTATCCCACCAGCTCACTCCCACTAACCCTGCATGCCCTGGTGGCCTTGGCCATTGAACTCCTGCTAGCCCCTTACTTGAAGTGATTGAACTGGATACAAGAAAGTTCGTCCTGCTGTGAGAAGGTGGTACGGTAAGCCATATTATATTCTATCATGGCTGGCAGTGATCGCCAGGAACGAAGGATATTTAAAGGAAGCCTTCCCTAATCATCACCTGCGGCGCTGGGCAGGTCCAAATAATAGTTGCTGGTTAGTCACCCACCTGAGTGCCCCCCTCCATCCTTTGTGTTACACAACATGCTCTCATGAACAAGCTTGTCAAATGCTCTCAAAAGGCCTGTGCCAATCAAGCATGATCACGAGGCACACAAATTTGCCAGTAGTGCTAAGCTTGTGTCCTTAAATACCTTGTGTCTCTGTTGGCTGGGCACAGGACTTCATATCTTCCCAAAGTATCGCCCCAACAATGGAGGTATTCATTGCGAATCTTGACTCAAGGTTCACCAGAGACAAGTTGAGAGAGTCCCTGACCCCAATCCTCTCCGAATTTCAAATCTATGTCTTCGAAGTCCGGAAAGCGATCGGGAAGACATTCGCGACTCTCACCATTCCAGATGCTCTCAAAGCACGGAGCCTTTTGTCCAAAGCACGTGCTTGCCCAAATCTCCTCTTATCTCCATCTGGGCGACCTGCAGTGTTCGATGTGAGTCGTAGACGGGCAGA